AAAAGTCCAGGGACAAGGACTAGAAGGCAGGAGGGGACAGGAAAGCTGGTAATAGGGAACCCAAGGTTGAGAAGGGACAGTGTTCACATGTTATGGGGTTGTTAACCATTATCATAAGACAATATATGTACTAACTGTATAATGAGAAACTATTTGTTCTATAAATCTTCTTCTAAAGTACAATAAAAAAAAAAAATAAAGTGTACATCTCAAAAAAAAAAAAAAAACTCAAAAAACAATAAAGTTACCTGAAAACAGATATCATGACACTGTGAATCATGGAATCACATTCCAGTGAAAAATGAACTTGGGACTCTCTGTGGACCTGCTTTGGATAGGCTGCTTTCATTTTTTTTTCTTTTTAGGGACAACATAGAGGTTAAAGCACTAATTATGAACTTAAGTGGACATTTATTGTTTTGATTGCCCAGCATTTCCCTTCCTGTGACAATGGCCCTGATTTTCCTTGGGGATCCACCCCTCCCACACTCCAGTCCACATGTCCCAGTGAACTACACCTTAACTAGGCCAATCAGTGCATTTTATCCCATTAGCTACAGTAACTTGGCTCAGTGACCAGATGCCCAACCAGCACCAGCAACTCAATTCTGGGAGTTTTGTGGAGCTCTCAGGGAAGCAACTCTAGATCCTGTTGGACTTAGCGTTGTGGTGTGAACCTGGGGCTGCAGGGGTTACCGTGTGTATTCATTTTCTATACCCAGGAGTAAAGTCAGTGGCACACTGTGGAACTGAGGGGTGGAAAGAAGTTGAAGCCCTGCATCCTCCAGTGCCTGAAGCCGGCAGTACCCCTAGCATTTTCAGTAGAGTATACCAAAACATTTCCTTTTTCGCTTACAGCCAATCTGAATTGAGTTTTCTGCTGCTTGTAACTAACAGAGCCCTAACTGATGCACTTTAATGATGTAGATGGAGTTCTAAGGGCCAATACAAAGAGCCCATATGTCAAAGGAACTAGAGTTTTCCCCACCCCAGCCGAATCATTAGTCCTTATTCTAAGGCCCCGTAAAACTTTCTGGCCCCATAAAACTTTCCAGCCCCGCTGGTAAAAAAGAAAGTGAAGAATGACCTGTCAGGAATAATAGTCCCCTTTAATAAGAACAATGTAAACAATACCAAATATATTTATTTTTTCTGTTAGAAGCCATAGCTGTATAGTATAAAAATGTCTAACTTAAGGCTTGTTAAGAATTTTTCAGGACATAAGAGGTGAAACATCTATATTTTCCCTAACATTGAGGTAGGTAGCCTGAGGGCAATACAGACCAGTTATTCTAAGTGAATTTCTTACATGTTATAAAAGGAGTCTGTCTCAGTCATCTAGTGCTGCTCATCTAGTGCACTCTGCTCCCAGCACTGCTTTCTTGGTGGTATGAGGTTCCTATGGGTCTCTGCTCGCTTCTCTCTTTTATATCTCAAAAGAGATTGCATTAAGACACTGATCTTGTCAACCTCATCAGTATAACCTCATCAAAATGATAGAATTTACAACACATGAGGAGAGCACATATAATCTCATCATAGTGGTAGCGTTCACAACACATAAGGACATCACATCAGATAACACAATCATACAATACTAGGAATCATGACCTAGCCAAGTTGCTACCCACATTTTTTGGGGGACACAATTCAATCCATGACAGAGTCCAAGGAGCAAGTTACAAAATAAATATATCATAAAGTCTCTGTTTTACAGTCATTCATTCATTCAACAAGCATTAAGTTCCTACCACAGGCCTGGCCATATGTAGACTAGGCTTGTGCAAAGAAGCGGAAGACATGATCCTGTTTTTAAGAGGCTTACAGCCTAGTAGGGGAACACAGATAGGTAAAAGCATGCAATACATTGCTGTAGGCTCTATGGCAGCTTAATTAGGGAGAGCAACATATATATATATATTTTTTAATTTTTTTTATTGTACTTTAGATGAAGGTTTACAGAACAAATAGTTTCTCATTAAACAGTCAGTAC